ATGGTGACTAACATGCATCTATCTCTTAATTTTGAGGCGTACAGAGTATGATCTCAGGTTCCTTATGACTTTTTCAATGTTTTTAACATCAAGTATCCATGCAGCCTTCATGGTCTTATACGAGGTGAAAATATGGAGCTCGGTCGTGACTCTGATACTGGTGGCCAGGTAATATTTTGCTGTTAATGTGGTTTCACTCCCAGTCTCGGGTTGAATGTATCTTTGTTGTTTGATGTAATAATACCTTGTATAATTGCTTACATAGCTACCTGCATATTGTTGGATCTATATTCCTTTTAGGTTAAGTATGTAGTAGAACTTGCAAGGGCTCTGGGCACCACACCGGGAGTTTATAGAGTTGATCTGCTAACTAGACAAGTGTCATCACCGGATGTAGATTGGAGCTATGGTGAGCCCACAGAGATGCTGACTCCAATTAATGCAGACGGTTTTGCAGAAGAGATGGGGGAGAGCAGTGGTTCGTATATCATTCGTATACCATTCGGTCCCAAAGATAAATACATTCCCAAGGAAGAACTCTGGCCACACATCCCTGAATTTGTTGATGGTGCACTGAACCACATAATACAGATGTCCAAAGTTTTGGGTGAACAAATTGGTGGTGGGAAGCCAGTCTGGCCTGTTGCCATCCATGGACATTATGCAGATGCTGGTGACTCTGCTGCCCTTTTATCTGGTGCTTTAAATGTCCCGATGCTTTTTACTGGCCACTCACTTGGCCGAGATAAGTTGGAGCAACTTTTAAAACAAGGCCGTCTTTCAAGGGATGAAATAAACACAACATACAAAATTATGCGTCGGATAGAGGCTGAGGAGTTGGCCCTTGATTCCTCTGAAATAGTTATTACCAGCACTAGACAGGAGATAGAAGAGCAATGGCGCTTGTATGATGGTTTTGATCCAATACTGGAGCGTAAACTGCGAGCTAGGATCAGGCGTAATGTGAGCTGTTATGGCAGGTTCATGCCCCGCATGGTGGTAAGTACTGAGATCATTTTTCATATCCTTGTTTAAAGGTCTACGTACTCATGGCTTGCTCTTCTTGAAATACTATGCTGGGTTTCCCTGGTAAGAGACTTGCTTGTTTTATATACATATCTTACGATTTTGTAGTTCTCTGCAGATAATTCCTCCTGGAATGGAGTTCCATCATATTGTTCCGCATGACGGTGATATGGATGGTGAGACAGAAGCAAATGAAGACCATCCTACTTCTCCAGACCCACCTATTTGGTCTGAGGTTCTAGTTACTCTTTATGCATTTACTGTGATGTCTTCCAGAAAGATAGCTGATGAGTCGTTTCAATATGCCCTGCTTTACAATTTTTTAAGCCTTATGCTTTCGAGCATTATGCATTGACTGGTGCCAATCAAAATTTGTCATAATGCAGATAATGCGCTTCTTTACCAATCCTCGCAAGCCTATGATTCTTGCCCTTGCTAGACCAGATCCAAAAAAGAACATCACAACTTTGGTCAAAGCATTTGGAGAATGTCGCCCACTAAGAGAGCTTGCGAATCTTGTATGTTATCATCCTTGATGGCACTTTTACTGAACTGCCTTTGTTTCTGTTCCAATTTCATTACTTAACGTTTTTCTTTCTCTGTACTCTACAGACACTAATTATGGGCAACCGCGATGGAATTGATGAAATGTCAGGCACAAGTTCTTCTGTTCTTCTCTCAGTACTCAAGCTTATTGACAAACATGATTTGTACGGGCAAGTGGCATACCCCAAACACCACAAACAGTCTGATGTTCCTGAGATTTATCGTCTAGCAGCAAAGACGAAGGTACCTATTGTAGTTTATATCAGAGAATTAAATTCAACTATATGTGCACTTTATATTGGAAAAATTGAAGCACTATTAGACATAGAAGGCTAAAGTAATCTCTAATGCCATACTTTTGCCAACTGCTGCTGGTATTTAATTTAAGTGTGCTATATCTTTGTTTTTGTTATTTAGTCCACTTCCGTGCCCCTCTGTCTCTGTCTCTCTGTCTCTCTGTCTCTTTCTCTGTCTCTCTCTGCATACAAAATGCATTTCCTTTTACTGGTTAATTGTTTCATTCTAATCCATTTTTGCAGGGTGTTTTCATTAATCCAGCTTTCATCGAGCCGTTTGGACTCACATTAATTGAGGTGTGTGTCTTAAAATTATCAGGAGTTTACCTTTGTATGATATTTTTCCAATATTTTTCTTTTCTTTTTTCAGAAACAAGTATAACTTCTGCCCTTTTATTGTACAGGCAGCTGCTCATGGTTTGCCTATTGTTGCCACAAAAAATGGGGGTCCTGTTGATATACATCAGGTATGCCTGCTCATCGGTCATAAAGAATCGATAGAAGGTTCTACATGTGTTGTACATTGAATTGTACACAGAATTCCAAAACTGATTGGACCTATTTCTATAGGTACTTGACAATGGTCTTCTTGTGGATCCTCATGATCAGCAGTCTATTGCTGATGCTCTCCTGAAGCTTGTTGCAGATAAGCAGCTCTGGGCAAGATGTCGGCAGAATGGGTTGAAGAACATTCACCTATTTTCTTGGCCTGAGCACTGCAAAACTTACCTATCTCGAATAGCCGGTTGCAAACCAAGGCATCCACAATGGCAGAGAAGTGAGGATGGAGCAGAAACTTCAGAAACAGATTCCCCAAGTGATTCCTTGAGAGATATACAGGATTTATCTTTGAACTTGAAGTTTTCATTGGATGGAGAAAAGAGCGGAACTAGTGTGAATGACAGTTCTTCAGAATATGAAGGAAATACTGCTGATAGAAGGAATAAAATAGAGAATGCTGTTTTGGCATGGTCAAAGGGTATTTCAAGGGACACACGGAAGGCTGGGTTCTCAGAGAAAGCAGACCATAACAGTGCTGGTAAGTTCCCAGTGCTGAGAAGGAGGAAACATCTTTTTGTCATTGCTGTGGATTGTGATACCATTACAGATCTTATTGAAACTACAAGGAAGATTTTTGAGGCTACAGGAAAGGAAAGGACTGAAGGCTCTGTAGGGTTCATATTGTCAACATCCTTGACCATATCCGAGATAAGCTCATTTCTGGTCTCAGGGGGCTTGAGCCCCAATGACTTTGATGCATTTATTTGCAACAGTGGCAGTGATCTCTACTATCCATCTATTCATTCAGAGGAGCGTCCCTTTGTAGTCGACTTTTATTACCACTCACACATCGAATATCGTTGGGGTGGAGAAGGATTGAGGAAGACGTTAGTACGTTGGGCAGGTTCAGTTAATGATAAGAAGACTGGGAGTGAGGAACAGATTGTTACTGCGGCTGATCAACTTTCAACTGACTATTGTTATGCTTTTAAAGTGCAGAAGCCCGGAAAGGTAAGTGTTCCTCAATTTTGACTGTGGATGAGTTTTGTATGAAATGAGTAATATTGTGCGTGTGCTTCAATTGATTAATATATACGTGTAAGTTTTCTGTAGTTTGTTAAATATTTTCACTTTGATCATGATAGGAATTCTTTTATTTTTATCTTTCCAGGTTCCCCCTGTGAAGGAGCTTCGGAAGTTGCTGAGGATTCAGGCTTTGCGGTGCCATGTAATTTACTGCCAAAATGGGACCAGAGTGAATGTAATTCCAGTATTGGCATCTCGTTCCCAAGCCCTCAGGTACAATATTTATGTCGTCAAGGGTTTGTAGACCTTGTTGTTTAAATTGAATATTCACCCATGAATTGCCCTCGTGGTTGAAACATGGCCGTAGAGATCTTTTAGGGGGAGATGGAGGCCTAGTGAGTAGTGAAAGCAGCCACATTGTTTATGGTTAAAACTTAAACCTGTGAATTATATATGAAGTTTGATGACTGAAACAAGCAAATTGTATTCGTTCAGGTATTTATATCTTCGATGGGGTGTAGACTTATCAAAAGTGGTGGTTCTTGCTGGAGAATGCGGGGATACAGACTATGAAGGATTGCTTGGTGGGCTGCACAAAAGTGTAATACTCAAGGGAGTTGCCAGCAATGCAATCAGTCAACTCCATACGAACCGAAACTACCCTCTATCAGATGTCCTGGCCCTTGACAGTCCCAACATTGTTCAGACCGGTGAAGGCTGTGGCAGCGATGATATCCGGGTTTCGTTGGAGAAACTCGGAGTTGTCAAGACGTAGAAATGTGCATTTGTAAAGTAAAGCCCCTCCTCATAGCAGCTTAAGCAATCTCCTCTCTATTTTGAACCTTGCCCTCAGAAACTTTGTTTGCGGGATACGGCATAAAGCTCAATACTAGTTTGCATTCATTCATGCATCTCATTTCTTTCCATAGTAAATGTTTTGTTACTTTCTTCTGTGGCTATGTTTACTGATTAAGAAATAAAGAGCCAAAGCCAACATCGCTTCCAAATTAATTATGTAGCTCTGCATCTTTGTCATCTGTCTCTACTATTTTTTTGTTTTCATGCGGGGTTTTGCTTGCTTAATTGCTCATGTCATCTGTGCGGTGCGCTCGATGTTCTGTTCCTAAATAAGCAACGGTGTTGGATAGGTCTGCTCTTTAAGTACACGTGGCAGCAGCCCATAATTAAAGCTACACGGAAGGACACGTGTCCGGGAATCGCAGGTCACTGTACATCATTTACGTAAACGCAATGTCCTACCTAACTTGCAGCTATTCCCGATCGATAATAAAGACAAACACCATTGTCGCATCATAAGAAAAGGGAGATAAAGTCTAAACAACAGTAAAAACCAAAATTTTCTTTTGGTCTCTTTCCTAGATATTCGATAAATTGGAACGATATAAACCGAATTTCCGTAATAAATTTATAATTATTTATAATAAAAAAAAACTACAAATTAGGAACATGATCAAGAGAGTTGGATTTTGAAGGTGAAGGTGAGATGGAGGTGTAAAACGTTGGATTCAAATTATTTTCTTCTTCTTAATCTAGTGTAAGAATTCAGTAAGCAATAGGACAAATTTTGCTTCTAAAGTGAGTTGAGGGCAATGAATGATTAACTAACAAGCAGTCCGATAGTAATCAACTTCTTTTCTACCTTCTCGACCCTTCTCCCTGCTTCTCCATTCTTCTCCTTTCTTCTTGGTCTCTCTTCTCTACAACCTCCTTTGGTTCTAGGGACTTTCCCTTGGAACTAATCCCTTCGGCTAATAAACCGGGCAACTCTCTCCCCCGTTATGTTGTAGAGAGATTTTTCTTCCCAAATTTATGTTGGGTTTTGCTTCTCCTCAGTTTTGGTTATTCTCAAGACAAGCTTTTAAAATCTTTTTTGCTGAGGAGGGAAAGTTGCTAGATCTTGATGGATCTTTCATATTGGGTGCTGTGAGATTATGTGAGATGCTGGAGGTGCTATGGCCTTCTTTAGCCAAGTGGATGTTGAGCGGTCAGGCCCTTTCACTTTTGGTGCTTTTGATTCCCTGTTCATGCAGAATTAGTTGTTCTTAGGGGCGGTCCTACCCTAAGGGCAGGGTAGGCAGCCGCTTACTCCATTTTTTGCCAAACTATATATTACCCAATACTTAATACAATTATATCTTTTCAGCCTACTCAATTATATCTCTTCAGCCTACTCAACCCCAATCCACTCAAATGTTTCCCCCACTTAACAAAAACAATAGACCAGCCCACTCAAACTTTCTCATTTAACAAAAACAATAAAAGCAATATCAACTCAAATGCTCCAGCCCAACCGACATTCTCCACTCCAACCCCATGGGCCATGCCCACTTATATTATACTTCAAACACTTCTTCTCCCTTGAGCAAATTGGTTGGCTGCAACCCGACGGTCCCCACCTCTTTTCTCCTTGGCAGCAATAGCAAGATCTTCAACAGCTTCTTCTCCTTCCTTGTCGACAAGTATTTCTCATTCTCTCCTCTTTAATTATCTTCTCTTTTTGGGGTTTTCCTAAAATACATGTATGCATCTTAATTCTAATTTTAATTTGAAATTGAGTATTCTAGGGTTTAATTAGAAATGAATTATAATTTGGGATTTTGTTGAAATTAATTAGGTCTTTGAAATTGAGTATTCTAGGGTTTAATTAGAAATGAATTATAATTTGGGATTTTGTTGAAATTAATTAGGTCTTTGAAATTGAGTATTGTCTCCTCTTTGTTGAGATGTTTGATTTGATGTTGGTATTATTGAGATGTTTGATTTGTTGATGGTATGTTAATGTTTCATTAAAGACATTGATGTTATTATGAGAATTTGTTTGATTTTTGGTTGTGATGTTTGCTTAAATAGGTTATCTTTTATTATGTCGGATCACAATGGAACCCTAAGAAAACAAAGAATTTGTTCTCTTTTTTTAAGAAAAAGAATGATGGGTCATCATCTAGTAAAATGCCTCCCCTTTGTGATGAGCAAAATTTTCCCGACTCTCCCATTGTCAAGCCTTAAGTTGAAAGAATTGAGACCCAAAGCGTTGATAGTGGTCAAGATTTTAATATCAATTATCTTGAGCGTGATTCGGGATTACGTTGTCAAATATCCCAATATTCAGTGAATGAACAAGATAATGTGCGAAAAGGCTATATTATTTTAGGACCATGTCAACCGGAGTTGAAAGATTATCCAAGCCATTTAGAAGGGCGAGACTTACGTCGATTTAATAAAATGTGGTTTAGTAAATTCCCTTGGCTTGAGTATTTAGTTGCTAAAGATATGACAATTTGTTTTCCTTGCTTCCTATTTGACATGAATCACTCACATGCAACCTTTACTATTCATGGATTTCAAAATTGGAAGAGAATTGGTGGCAATCAATGTGTATTTCAACATCATATAGGCAAGCTAAATTCACCACATCATCTTGCTATGCAAAATTGGGTTAGCTTAAAAAACTCATCTCTTCATATTGAAACAGTGGTAGATAAGCAATCAAAGCAACAAGTGATGGACAAAATTCACTCATACCGTTGAGTTTTTAAGGTAAGTTTCGCCTACTTGGCTTTTGAATCCTGGATCCGCCACTAGTTGTTCTCATGGTCTCTCTGTAGCATCGGTGCTGTAAAAGGTCTTCTTGATCCTCTATCTGTCAACTTTGAGTGAGTTGGACTTGAATTTGTAATAGTTATTAGTCACTGTCTTGCTGGATTTATTTTTCCTAATTTATTGTATGCAAGAACCTCCATCTGGGGTGTGTTCTTCTTGTACATCTTTTAAATTTACCCCCTTATTAATGAAATTCTGCTTGTTCCTAAATAAATATATAATATAAAAAAAGAAGCAGTCCAATAGTAGGCCACCTGTGTCTCCTCTCAAACAAAGGATTGGTAGATTAGTGGTTGCTAAATGCCACCTAGACCCTAGAGGAAATTATTAACAATAAACCTAAGTCTGAAAATTAGAATTCTTTTCCCAACAGAAAGCCTTACAAAAGGAAAACCCAAACTAATTAGAACATTCTCCTCAAGCTGATATTTTGAGAAATAGTTGGCTAACCAATATTATCTTATGGGGATTTTTTTTTCGTTACATTGGAGGAAAGAAACTTTGGGGTTTCGATCCTGGGTGTCAAGCAAGGGTGAAGGGTAAGGACCACAAGACAACAACTGTAATATCCCCACTCGAATTTAAGTCTCTGTAAAAAGAGTAAAACATTTCAAATATTAATATATTCCTTGGAGCTTACATATATGTATAATTGAGAATCCATCCACAGTTAAGGAAGTATGGAGGTAATTGTTGCATAAATTAAAAAAACCAATGGAATATTGAGATGAACCAACGCATGCATGCAATGGCAAATGCTTCGAAAGCCATGCATTATGAAAAGTGGGTTTGGTGGGTCGTAATTAAAATATAGTTAGCCAATTAATACTGATGATCTTGATAATGTTATAGAGAAGAGACTCTTCCCCCAACAGGGAGGGAGGGAGGGGGCAAGGGGAAAGGAAAGACGTAAGTGATGATCCATTAACATTAAAACAATTTAGGTACGGAGCTCCACCAACCAACCAGTGCTATACCTATAGCCTATAGGCTATAGGATATCTAGCTGCAACAAAATGAAAATGATGACAAGGAAGGAAGGAAGGAGGGTGCTCTTTCTTTCTTTAAATCCATGTATATATATATATATATATGTTATTAATGTTGTGGTTGGTTGGTTGGTGCAGTTGTACAACCTCCAACTGCACTAAATAGCCCCGCCCCTATTATCCCATATCCCTTCTCCTCCTTCAACCATAAACTCTGTCTCCTTCCCTCTATCTATCTATCTATAAACCCAACCCAACCCAATCAATATTCATCTCTCTCTCTCTCTCTCTCTGTGAAGCGAAGGCTCTCCCTCCACACCCCTTCCTTGTGAATATTTTGTACGGAGGACAATGAGTCCCAGGGAAGGAGGAGCTCTTGCCAAGATGAGAAAACCAACAACAACAATGGATCATCAAACCTCCTCCTCCTCGGCATCAGTTGATAATAATTATTTTAATGTTTCTCATAATCATGTCACCGACAACAACTTGAATAAGAAGAAGAAGAAGAAGAAGAGAAACAAGGCCAAACCCATACAGTACAGCTTGATGTCGTATTGGGAGTTGCCGGAGTACATGAAAGACAACGAGTTCATTCTCAATTACTACAGAGCCAATTGGCCTCTCCCTCAAGCTCTCTTTAGCGTTTTCCGTTGGCATAACGAAACTCTCAACGTTTGGACGTACGTAATTTCCTTAACATTATTTCAAATTAAGTTTGTTCATTGTTTGATTGATTCATTTCTTTAATTCGGTTTTAATTCTTTGATGATTTTGGATTTTGATTGACGGGTTTTCTTCTTTAGTTTCTTTGAATTGTTTAAATCTATTTTATTTTATTTTTTTAATTATTTGCAGGCATTTGATTGGGTTTGTTCTGTTTTTGGGTTTGACTATGGCGAATTTGTTGCGAGTGCCTCAGGTAGCGGATCTCCTTGGCTTTTTTGCCAGGTTTGTTGAGGCTTTCTTTCTTTACCCTTTCTATTTATTTTATTTTATTTTTGTGTGGGGAAATTTGAATTTGTTATTCGTGTCTGATATGAGATTTTATTAGAATCACATATAGAATACTGACTCTTAAAATTATATATAGAGATTTAGCTAATTTGAAATATTTGTTTTCCTGGATGAAATCATTATTTTCTGTTAATTATAGATAGTTTTCATTAATTGCAATTTGCAACCATGCATGAACACATAACATGTGCCATCCATTTTAATTTCAAAACTGCACATTTCTCTACGAGCAGAGCAGATGTTGCTAGCTAGGAAATTAGTTAAACCCTCCCTCAGTTAGCATGCATGCATGATGCATATTAGATTATATATAAATTAATTCATCCCCTTGTCGCATATAATATTATATATATGTTTGATGCAGGTCTACACCTATTAGTGCAGTTACAAATGTTTCCCGTAATTTCATTTCGGTAATTAACCTCAACTCATTCTAAGTTGTAATATTAATAACCCTTCTCATATTAATACTAGAAATTTAGCAGGGGATCGTGACAACAAATCTTATTGATTTGAAGCAAATCACATCTCAGGAAATGGAAATTGCAGCAGCTGGTCATGAAATGGGTGGCGTGGCATATTGGCCTTTTTATGTGTTCCTAGGAGGCTCTTTGTTCTGCCTTCTCTCGAGCAGCATTTGTCACCTCTTTTCATGTCACTCTCACCCCTTGAACCTCCTGCTGCTGCGCATCGATTATGCCGGCATCACCATGATGATCATCACCTCATTTTTCCCTCCAATTTACTACATCTTCCAATGTGACCCGCGCTGGCAATTCATCTACCTTGGTGGCATCACAATCATGGGCGTTTTCACCATCATAACACTGCTCTCTCCCAAGCTTTCCAGCGGCAAATTTCGCACATTTCGAGCCTTGCTGTTTGCATCCATGGGGTTGTTTGGGATTGTGCCTGCAGTCCATGCCAGCATTGTGAACTGGGGGAACCCGCGGCGCAACGCCACTCTGGTTTATGAGGCTGCCATGGCATTTTTCTATTTGACAGGGACTGGATTTTATATCACTCGGATTCCAGAGAGATGGAGGCCCGGATGGTTTGACATAGCAGGGCACAGCCATCAGATTTTTCATGTTTTGGTGGTTTTGGGTGCCTTGGCGCATTATGCTGCCATTCTTGTAATGCTAGACTGGCGAAATACCTTTGGCTGTGACAATAACAACACTACGTAATATAAATGAGCAACCGTAGGTTAATCAGCTAGAGCCTGTGCTTGATTTATATTGATGGGTAGAGGGATTATTATTGTTGATTTTGTAATGAGTAAGAGAGAGCTTGGCCTCGGAAGATAATTAGAGGCTGTCATTTTATATTTGTTTTTAGAAGAATTCCAGGATAAGGAAAATAGGTGCAAATTTGTTTTCTATTATTTTATTTATTTATTAAAAAAATTATCGCAATTGTATGAACAATATTTAATTATTATATGTTGAATGATTATGAAATTGTATGAACAATATTTAATTATTATATGTTGAATGATTATGAAATGGTAACAGGTAGGAAGACAAAATTTAGAATATATATATACATAAATTCTTCTATCCGGACATCCGGATGTTATTATCATGCGAACTATCCCTCTCTGTTTTCCTACTTGTTTACAATAGCATCTGCACGCTAATAACGTGCGGCGCTAATAACGTGCGGACATTTTGATAAGAGAATAACTAATATAGGTCAAGGAGGTGTGTGTGTATTGAGGAGCAGAGTATGAAGCTGCAGAATTGCCTTCGGTTAGGAAATATGACATGATTCTCGTACAAGGGTTCAGTTACAACATACATCTTGCATGAGATGGCGATAGGAACACAATCAAGGCCCTAAAGCTAGCAAGGGTATATATGCAAATCATTTATCAATTACCAATGTCATTGTGATAGTTTAATTAATACATTGACCAAAGTTACTATGACACCCAAACAAATCAAGTTTTGATATTAACCGATGTGCATGGATGGATGTCAGTCGTTAATGAAAACTTCATCAACAATCACTCACGTGCACGTGAACGACTGTTTCTAGCACATATCAGAATTAAAAAGAAGAGATTAATCGGCTTAGTTATTAGCAGTCTTCATACTTTAATTTATGAGCTTCAGGTAATCTATTCCTATGTGAAAATATATTCAGTGGATGAGTAATAATTAGTACCTTCCAAGGTATCCGTTAGATTTTATTTTTATATGTTTTTCAGAGCATTGATCGATCGATCTGGTTGGACCTTTAACAGCACATTACTTTGAATGCAATCAAAAAGCAGCAGCCTCGAGAACTAATTAAATTGTGATCCAAGAAATTCACTTCCTGATATATTGGGATCAATTATAGCATGAGTTATATAATATAAAAGAAATTAATTAAAAATGATAAACCGATGAGTATGACTATAGCTAACTCGATATTAATTATACCTTTGGGATCAGAGTTTAGTGAGATTAATTAACTACTAGATTAGTGAGAGAGCTATATGCAATCTCATCTGTTGTCACTTTAATTTCGTTACACGTAAGGGCGGGCACAACATTTTCCAAGTCAATTATTTTTTAACAAGCATGCATTTCCCAGGTAAAGCTGCTAAAAGCCTTCCTTTAATGATTTTATTTTTATGTCAAAACATGATCCTATTTTTCCTATTCCTAAACATATATAAATTAAATATTATTACTTACATATGCCCTGCCCAGATGATCATACCCAGTCACCAACTCGCCCTCTCTCAATGATCACTTGTTAATTCTTACAGACACATCGATCTCTGCTTAGATTTAATACGTAGGAAACTAAATGTAAAAAAGGTTGGGCTATACTTCGCTGGATTCAGCAAGGATTTGCTCTCTAAAAGCTGCTATAGCTACATTTCTCTGTCATAAGCCCTCTTCTCTTTCTTTCTTTTTCTTATGGACCGTCTTTGGCTTTGTTTGTTCCGTCTTTTCCTTGTGTCTTAGTGCAACCAAAAAAAATGTAGTGAGAGGTTTTGCGTAGATTCATATACAAGTAGAAAAGTGATAAATTAATTGCCATGACTTCTACTGCAGGAGCCTTCCGCTTCCCCACTGTAGCTTTTTTGCTAGTTACGTTGTTGTTTCTTCTTTTCTTCTTCCTAAGCTTTTCGCCTTTCTCTGGAAACCATCTCAATATTCCCCTCATTTCCTCTTTCACTGCTTTTTTCAATCTGAAAGAGAGCAACTACACAGCCCCACCCCAAGTTTCTTTAGATGGGTTACTCACAAAGTCCATGTATCGAAGGAGGAGTGGACAAAAGGTTAGTGCATGCGGATGGCACCAAAATGAGCACTTAAACTAAGCTTGGCAAATGAATTATTTTTCGTAAGTTAATTGTTAAGTTTAACTCATCCAATTTTTTGGTGTTGTGTGATCAGAATAAGACTAGTTTGGAGAGAATTGAAGAAGATTTAGCCCAAGCTCGAGCAGCGATTCGTGAAGCAATTCAGTCCAGGAACTATAAATCGGAGAGAACAGAGACTTTTATCCCAAGAGGGAGCATTTACAAAAACCCTTATGCTTTTCACCAGTTGAGTATTGCTAACTAATTATTATATATTGGAAAACAAATCAGCATTTTCATTTCATGATCAAGAGGTTTCCTTATAAAGAATTGTTTTGGTGATAAAAATTGTGATATTGTCACTGATCAGGAGTCACATAGAGATGCGGAAGAGGTTCAAGGTTTGGTCGTACAAGGAAGGAGAGCTACCATTAGTACATATTGGTCCAATGACGAACATCTACGGCATTGAAGGGCATTTCATAGATGAAATAGAGAGGGAGGAGAGCCCCTTCAGGGCTACACATCCTGATCAAGCACACACATTTTTCCTGCCCTTCAGTGTAGCCAACATCGTTGAATATGTTTACTTGCCTATCACCCGAGAACAAGACTATCATCGTGATCGTCTGCAACGGATTGTGGTGGACTACATTGGCGTTGTGGCACGGAAATATCCCTACTGGAACAGAAGCCATGGTGCTGACCATTTTATGGCTTCATGTCACGATTGGGTATGTTAGTTAATTGCTTCATTTCTAGCCTTCAAAAAAGAAAACAAATGTTTTGTTTGAATTGATCAGAAATGTCTTGTTTTCAAATAACTATTTCATCATTCAGGGACCCGAGATTTCAGTAGGGCAGCCTGAGCTTTTCAAGAACTTTATTAGAGTTCTTTGCAACGCTAACACCTCTGAAGGATTCCAGCCAAGAAGAGATATCCCATTACCTGAAATTTATGTGCCCTCTAGAACGCTTGGCCCCCCATATTTGGGTCAGCCCCCAAACAACCGTCCAATTCTAGCCTTCTTTGCAGGCAGAGTCCATGGATCCATTCGACCTATCTTGCTGGATAATTGGAAGGACAAAGATGATGAAGTTCAAGTCCATGAGAAGCTTCCCTTAGACCAAAACTACACCAAACTAATGGGGCAGAGCAAGTATTGCTTGTGTCCTAGTGGGTTTGAAGTGGCAAGCCCAAGAGTGGTGGAGGCATTTTATGCAGGGTGCGTGCCGGTTTTAATTTCTGACAATTATACATTGCCCTTCAGTGATGTCCTTAATTGGAGCCAATTTTCAATACAAATTCCTATTGCCAAGATACCAGAAATGAAGACCATCTTACAGGGAATTCCGTATGAGAAATATTTGAGAATGCAGAAGAGGGTGTCCAAAGTTAGGAGGCATTTTGTGCTGAATAGGCCGTCTCAGCCATTTGACGTGATTCACATGGTGCTTCACTCTGTATGGTTGAGACGACTAAACTCTAAGCTTGACACTATACATGATCATAATTCATAAACATCAGCTCTCTTGTAATCTATTACCCCTTGTTTTTATCTCAATCTAGTATTGCTTAGATGTAACATGTTGGCACCAAACCAATAACCAATAAGCCACAAGCTAGCTAGCTAGGGTCAGAAGCTATTAATTTTGTTCTTAATTTCCCCTCTCAAACGCCATATTAAAGGCAAAAACAGGATTTGAGTATATAAATAAAACCAACCTCATTTCTCATTTTAGTATTATCTTCCAGGTCAAGTTACAGTTTAATTAATCGGCTTTTAAGTCCACTGATCATCAGCTGTATATTATAGTCAAATAATCGACTTAAGTCAACATCATCACCTGTATGACTATGCATGAATATGTAGGTTATGTATAAAGCCAGCACCCTCATTATGTATTCTGCAGTTTCCAAGGTAAACCATTAGATTTAGATTATATACCCATCTCTCTCTCTCTCTCTCTCTCTCTCTCTCTCTCTCTCTCTCTCTCTCTCTCTCTCTCTCTCTCTCTCTCTCTCTCTCTCTCTCTCTCTCTCTCTCTCTCTCTCTCTCTCTCTCTCTCTCTCTCTCTCTCTCTCTCTCTCTCTCTCTCTCTCTCTCTCTCTCTCTCTCTCTCTCTCTCTCTCTCTCTCTCTCTCTCTCTCTCTCTCTCTCTCTCTCTCTCTCTCTCTCTCTCTCTCTCTCTCTCTCTCTCTCTCTCTCTCTCTCTCTCTCTCTCTCTCTCTCTCTCTCTCTCTCTCTCTCTCTCTCTCTCTCTCTCTCTCTCTCTCTCTCTCTCTCTCTCTCTCTCTCTCTCTCTCTCTCTCTCTCTCTCTCTCTCTCTCTCTCTCTCTCTCTCTCTCTCTCTCTCTCTCTCTCTCTCTCTCTCTCTCTCTCTCTCTCTCTCTCTCTCTCTCTCTCTCTCTCTCTCTCTCTCTCTCTCTCTCTCTCTCTCTCTCTCTCTCTCAGGCCAAATGGTTGGACTTTTAACAGCATATTACTTTCAGTTCAATCAAAAAGCAGCAGCTTCAAGAAGTTTGTGATCCAAGAAATTCACTTCGACCTCATATACATGTATATATTGGTATTGCCCTCACGTACAAATCTCAAAGCTGATAAATGAATGAATTTGACTAACTCTCAGGTATATTAATATACCTTTGGGATTAGAGTTTGGTCGATTCCCAAGGGCCATATATGCTACAAAACTTCACCATAGAATTGGATGACTAGCTAGTAGCTACCCTCCCTCAGTTTAAGACCAAGAGATTTACTTTGTCAAATATATTATGAGCCCCGAGCCTTAGACAAAGGGTCACTTTCTATTCATTACAATTTACATGGCCACGATTTTTCCTCCGAATGCTGTGTCATATCTCATATGCATGGCAAAATATATGCTAATAATTCCTCTGATAACTTGCAAGATACTCATCATCAAATTTTTAGGAATACTAATATATATATCGATATCTGTAGCAATCTTCCATGTTCAATTATTTTGCATTAACATCAATGCGAGCGACGATCCATTTTTTTTCCACCTAAAGCGCTAAGAAGTAAGATTCTTTTTACAAGTCAAAAAATGCAGCTCTGCAGGTCATTAAATAAGCCCAGATGATCATCCATCTTCTTC